CTGACATGTCCTTATCCTTCTGCCAAAAATCCCTGCCACCTCCTGCTCCCATCCAGCAGCACCCTGATATTACATAAACCAGGCTTCTGAGGATTGCTTCAGTCAGATGCTGGAGTTGCATTTGCTGGGCCTGATTCAACCCGGCTCCGGAGCGGGAGCAGGATTGCTCCCTTGCTTCAGGCAAAAGGGGCTGCATCCCCCCCTGGATCAGCGCCGATGTGAGCCGGAGCCGCTGCTGTCACCCTCGCTGGAGCTGGTGGAACCTCTCTGGAGCAGAGGGTTGGAGACCTCCTCCCACTGGTGACCCTCTCCCGAGCAGGTCCGGAGACCAGGAGACATCTCAGCTGGTTCCTGCATTTCTGTAACTCCACGGACGCTTTGGAAATACTCAGTGATTTCACCCCAGGGACAGTTTGAGTTGTAACTGCAGGCTCGCCATGGGAATCCTAGGGCTGTGAGCTGGGTTTGGGTTTTGCTGCTGAAACCATGCTCGTGGGGGCGGATGGATGGAGTGGATGAAGGAAGCCCCAGATCTGCTTTTGCCCTTTCCATCCCTGCCAAAGCTCTTTTTCTCCTCCCTCCACCTCTCCCCAGCTGAGCGTTTGGGATCCGAGACCGGACAGGGGCTCGGGGAGGGGACAATCCCCTCTCTGGGGTCCCCGCTGCCCAGCCAGCCCTCGAGGAACGGCTCGCAGCAGTTCCCTGGGCAGGAGGTGCCCATGGCGCATCAGGGACCGTGCTGGGTCCCTCCTGCTGCCACCCCCTCGCCCCATCCCGGGTGCCCTCGTGCTCCACGCACCCTTGTTTCTCGGGAGGGCTACCCCGAAACGGACGGGCGGTCGCATCGCGGCGTTCATCTTGTGTAATCCTCCGTGCCCACTCACCTAAATGAATCATCCCTTTGATAGGTGAGTGAAATATAATTAGTGTTTTCATTGTTAGTACCGTGTGAGTAGGCAAGTGGGTTTTCTTGGCCCGGGCTGGGAAATTTTCCTGCTTTGAAAGTGATGGGGAGAGGGAAACGGTGCGGTGGGAGCTGCCGGCGTGGGCTCCCTCGCAGCCGGTCCTGCCCGGGCAGGAGCCACGGGTGGCTCCGTGCCCCACTTTCCCCACCTCTGCAGTGGCACCGGTGACACCTCCAGCCGCTCTCTTTGCAGGTGCACCAGGAGCTACCAACCAGCTGGCTTTCATGTGGTTGAGGAGATGGAAAAATGTGGAATATTTTGCAAAAGCAGGCCCCTTGTGTAAAGGGTGGCCGCCTCGTGCCTCTCTCTGTACCAGGGTTTTTTTTCACGGGTTCCTCTACAGCTGCAAGGAACCAACAAGCGAGGGCAGATTTCCATGCGATCTATTCATAGCGCAGATGTCAGAATTACCTTAAAAGTATCAGCTCTCGTCTTATTTTGCTGCCGGGAAGGAATTGTTGATGCACTTTAAATAGTGGGTGGAAACAAGCAAATACAAATGCGCCCTGATCCCCGATCCTCCCGGCTCCTGCAGAATCCAGGCACAGCCGCAGCTGGCCCCAACAACCCCCCGAAGAACCTGACCATTGGGAAAAAAAAAAGCTATGAACTTTGTTTCTGAAGCTTCTCGCTCTCTAGATTGGGTAGAGAAGATGCTTGCAGTGCAACGGTGGTTATAGGAGAGCAGCGACTGAAACCATCAGGACCCGCCGAACATGGGAAAATGAATCAAAATACTAAATGAAGATTCTGACCAGCGTCATTAAAAATAAATGATATGAACTCATGGTCATTACTGATCTCACTGGAACATGCTGCTGAGTTTCAGGTACAGCTCAGGACAGAGGAAGC